AAAATGCAGGATTTTGGGTGCCCCCCCCCCCTACTTGGCTTCGATTTTTTTCAGGATTTTTTGGAAAGGGACACTTTCATCTCTGAATGTGATTTTCCTCTTAAAAATAAAATTCCTTTTTTCTTCTTCAAATTTTCTTAAATCTACAAAGACTTTAAACGAGTACAAAAAGGTCATGTGATCGGTCAAATTGACCGAGCCTGTATTGAGAAAGTTAAGCTATACTTAATTCATTCTTACATATAACATAACGTTTAAAGACAACAAGGGACCTGTTGGTTCATCTCGGCTGTCCCATCCTCTAAACTAAGATTATTAAATCAATAATTTTTTTTTAAATCATAAAGCCAGCCCTTATCATTCATACAGTTATCAAACTTTCTCGTAAATTTATTGCCTCCACAAATCTGAAGGCAACCCATTCCAAAGGCCAATCACCCTATTAGAAAAATATAACTGTCTTAACTGAAGATGACTCCTACCTTGCCAAAATTTATATTTGTGTCCCCCTAGTCCTACTGTTTTTATTGTTAAATATAAAAATAAACCATGCATCAACACTATGAATTCCCTTTACAATCTTAAACACCTCAATCAAATTCCCTTTAACTCTTCTTTTTTCAAGAGAAAACAATTTGAGAGATTTCAGCCTTTCCTTGTATGACAACCTCTCCATCCCAGGCACCATTCTAGTAACCCTTCTCTGAACCTTTTCCAAGAATTCAATGTCTTTCCTAAGGTAAGGAGCCCAAGATTAATCACAGTACTCCGATGTGACCTAACCAGTGACCTGTACAGTGAAATTATAACCTCTTTAGACTTGTATTCAGTATTTCTGTAGATACAACCTAAAACCCTATTTGCCCTGCCACTAGTAATAGCACACTGATTGGATGGCTTGAGAGACTTATCAACAATTACAAGAAAGATCCCTTTCTTTCATGACACTGTTAAGGTTATTCCCTCCATATTGTACTTATAATTCAAATTACAATAACCCATCTGCCATTTATTTACCAAACTCACTAAATGATCTAAATCTTTTTCTAAAGCAGCAATTTATTGACCATTCCTTCATCTAGGTCACTGATGTAAATCAAAAAGAGCAAAGGTCCTACAATTGAACCCTAAAGGTACCCCACTTGTGATATTAACCCAGTTTGACTGAACTCTATTGATAACAACCCTCTGCTTTCTTCCATTTAGCCACTCTTCTATCCAATTAGGTAATGTAACCCCCACATCTATAGAGATAATATTTTTTACAAGCCTTTTATATGGCACCTTGTTAAATGTTTTCTGAAAATCCGGATACACCAAATCTACACCCTTACCCTCATCTACATAAGCAGTAACCTCTTCAAAGCATGTTAAAAGATTTGTCAGGCAAGATTTTCCCTTAGTATAACCATGTTGACTGTCCATTAAAATTAAGACTTGGATCCAGTAACTGGATAATTGACCGGCTTGGAGGACCAAGGCTGTGACAAAAGCAGAAAGTTTCTGAAAAATACTAATGAATAAAAGTCATATATATATATAAACCTTCTGACTAGAAGAAAATTAAGATTTAACACAAATTTGAAAATTTAATTGTATAATCGTTGATTGTTAACTCGGGACAGGCACCGATTACAGGGTCCCAAATTTTAAAGGTAAGCATCCTGCTGTGGGGGGAAAATGGGAGTACCCCAAGAAATCCCACTTTCACTGGTCAGGCGGTGCTGCATATCTATGCTATTTTTACATATCCTTTTATATTACCTGGTATTTATTTCCATCTACCCTGAATTGTTGCTAAGTAAAGCAGTGTAGGGTAAAATGAATATTTGATAATTCTGACAATAAATGTATAATACCATTGAATGTCGCTCTTTAAAAGGTCATGAGCACATGAATTTTGACCCCCCACCCATGCACATATGGATAATGAAATAAATAAAAGTGATATTATGACATACATAAACCAGTGGCCACAGAAAATGTGGCAATCCATCAGATTTGTCCATTCAGTTAGACCATACTGTTATAAACATTCATTTAGAGCTTAACTATATGTTTTAATTCCTAACTACAATGACAAGTATTTTCAAAGCATAGTACAATATAAAAAAAAGTTACATATCAAAGGCTGTGGAAAGACTAGAAGTAATTCAAAAAATGTATTGAGCTAATCATTCCGTGCTTTTCCAGACTTTCTTTTGATCAGATATAATTCAAACATTTTCACAGTATATACATAGAACTTATGATATTTTTACTTGTTTCTGTATGTATTCTCAATTAACATATATTATACTGCTGTACCGTACTATTCCGCCTTCGGTCCGTACGACGCAGAGTATCGTCTAAATACTTTGTGTC